TTTAATTTTAGAAGCAAACATTTATGGGATGTTGCAAACCCTTATTCAGTGACCGAAAGGCATTTTAACATGAGTTTAAAATTACTAATGACCATTTTCTCGGGCCGCATGTCTACCACCAACTTTGAATGGCAATTCTTATCTAGAAATTTTTCAAACTCGACTATCTGATTATTTCGATGATTTACCCCTGAATTTGCGGCATGATATAATTCTTATGCATGATGGCGGACCACGCCATTTTGCTAGAGCAGTTAGGAATTACCTAAACCAACATTTTAGAAATCGGTGGATAGGTCATGGAAGTTCTTGGGCTTGGTCGGGGCGAAGTCCTGACTTTAACCCATTRGATTTTTGCGTTTGGCGTTATTTAAAATCATTAGTGTACGATCAAACGGTAGACACCCGAGAWAAGATAGTTGGTCACTAAAATTATGAATGTCGCCGAACCATTTCTAAATGAAAATATGTTTTTTTTTTTTTAATTAGACGATCCCTCAATAAACGCATTACAAAATGTATTGAAGTTTACGAGGGACATTTTGAGCAATTGTTGTCGAAAATGGATGTTTTATTGTTAGTGATTAAGATAAAAAGATCCTATTGTTAAATAATGAAGTTTAGAAAATATTTTTCCACTTAGATACCTATTGTGGTTTATTTTTTGACAGACACCAAGTAAATCCGTGTCGCTGCGTCACACTACTTGACATGCATTGTAAAATGTCCTCACAATTCTGCATTTTGCGGTTTAATCGCAAATATCTCGGAAACAGAGGCTTGTTGAAACATCGACTAAGAATAACTTTTTTGTGCAAAATTAATAGGCAATTAGACACAACCAGTTTCGAATTCAGAATACCGGGTAATCAAAAAGAGTTAGCACAATTTTTTTGTCCAGATATTGCCGCAAGTGGCTTTTTCTCCAAATTGATCAAAATCTGATGGCAGATTTGGATTTCATATGCTCAAAAACCCCTGTATAGCAAATTTCGTTAAAATATGCAGCTCCGTTCAAAGTAGAATATAAAAACCTGAAATTAAAATGTAAGTTTGACGCCCTGTATGTTGGCAACCGTCAACTTTTGGACTAAAATTCGCAGTTTTTGCCTAATTTATATTCAACGGTGTGAGGTAAGAAAGCATYTGAAACTCGCAGATGTAACCTTAAATTACGGTTATTTTAAGCAGCATAGAAAAATATAATGTTTCAATTTTAGTTATTCGATTGAGTAMCCGAAGCAGTAAAATCGGCATATCAATGCGTGCTAATTACAGTTTTTTATGGAAAAACTGCACCATTTAACCGCACTTCATAARATCAATTGCGAAAATTGTTTGGTTCTGCGGTGYACGTGTGGCAACGCTGTTCAACAATCAAACACAGAGCAATAAAGACACCAGATTCAGTTGATTTGATGAACAACGTTGCCGACCCTGCTGGCCAASCATRAAAGGGAGCGCAATGCAAGGCTCTCGGTTYGTTTCTTCTCGCTCTTAAATCTACACAGCATCTTCATCGCGCTTCCCCTCACCGGTGCACATGCAAATATAGTTTGTRAAATATTCCTGCATTTCAATTTATATTGGAGGAATATCACCTCCATAGTTCTCATTACCCAGCTTGATATTAAGTACAGATTATCGTTCTCACCTGCAGGGCAGCGAACATGAGAATCTCCTCTTCGGTGCAGTCGATCTCTTCGTTCAGCAGCTGCCATTTGGCCTGCTCGTAGATTTGATTAATGCGAATGGCGTCATATTTCGGGTTTAAGTCATAGAACACGTAGAATTTGAATCGCAAGCATAACGTGCCGTGCTCTCTTACGCCCTGCTCCATGATGGACAGTGAGGAATCCAGCCATCTAAGGAAAAGCAAACGTTAACATAATATCACAGTATATTTCAAACCACCATTCAAACAACGTTAAATCTATAGAAACTATCCCATTTACTGCCTATTTAAGTAAAGCTTAGCCCTAAGTAGCTAGCGAAAATGCAAACAGAGAAATCCAGTCAAGACTTACGAAAAATCGCGATTTTTGGCAACTTCTCAGAATCAAAGTGAGAGATCGCTAATATTGGGGCAAAGTTGCGTATTTGCATGTACTGTGACTAAAATATGTTTTTCAAATATTAGCCATTTTTCAGATTACGACACATTTTGCATTTTTCTTTTTTCGTTTCTGTACGATGTAAATAATAGCCAATCAGGGCCAATTAAGGATCCGTACTCCGAC